ACAGCATTGCCATCTGCTGGTGAAAGTGAGTTATTACATAGCAAGAAATTATAACAACATGATAAGCAAAGGTTGTTTTGTGGAAGGTGGATGGCAAGCATGTGTCAGGAAGGTGTGGGATAATAAGGATTTAATTTCAAATTTCTGATTTGTTTTACAATTTGACATTATAATAGCCTATAACTATTTGAATGTACTGTAATATCAATATCGGATGATTCGCAGGCATAGGCGGTCATGTAAGTTTTTGGCGGAAAAGGCTAGCACATTACCAGTAAACTCTTATATTGAAATCCTTTATAAAGTAAGTCTGTGCAGATTTAAAAATCGACAGTGTTTGAATGCTTAGCCATTATCAAACTTATTACAACCTTATTACTCTCGTCTGTCCGTTATCTAACATTTGTGATTTCTTTTTATTTAGAAGTGAATAACTTAGAAGTGAATAACGTCAGGTCATAATAAACATCTTATAACAATGTAATTGAAATATAAATATTACATTGTACAGATACATTGTATATGCATTTATGTACATACAATTGTGTGTATTTGTGAAATGTTGAGAATACAGGTATTATTTGACTGTGTTAATACTGCTAGTGTAAATAAATCTCTAACATGATCAAAATAACTTTTTGGTTGTTGTCTTAGACCTGTCGGTTGGTAATGGTATTCCTTTCCATTGCTTTTGTTACTTTGCCTTTAAGTAGCTCTAAAGTAAGATACAATTGAAAAAGTGATACAAAATTGTTCTTAGTCTTCATTCATGATATAGTGCCCAAAACCTCAAACCCAAGATACCTTATTACGGCGACATGCATCATTTTCATATCCAGTTAGTTTAGATATGAAACTTTGGAATCTAGACTTCTCAATAAGTTGTATTTATTTCAACAATCATCATGTGTACAACTTACATTTGAAATGGCCATGGAAGCGAACCGTCCCAGCAAGTTTATCGAAGTTTAAAAAAAAAAACACACACACACAAAAAAAATAAAACAAACCGCTTGAGACTTTGCGGGGGCCCGGAAAACAGCCCCCCCCCGCCCACCTCATGACGTATTTAGATTTGATTGGCTGAGAACGCCGGGTATTACGCGCGAATTGGCAATCAGTCCCTGTCAATCATGTTAGAGGCGTGTCCTCACCGTCATCGAGCGAAACCATATCCAGTCCTTACAGTTCACTAGTCTTTACCGGCCCGGGACCTTCCGTTACATCAACTGTTAAAAATAAAAGAGCAAGTGGGCAGAAGACCAGCTGCAGGTGAAATGGACGAACCGTCGGAACAAATGAGGCCCCTTTTGAGAACAGTAAGTGCCCGCCCAACACAGTCAACCGTCAGCCCACCATTACATCTGTGCGGCTCTTTGTCCGTGTTTGCCTCTTGTTTGCCCAGCAGCCGCACAAGTAACGTGTTCTAGTGATGCTTTGGGAGTCAGATTCAGTAAGGCACCATCCGGCTGCTATTGTTAGCCGGCTTCTTCTACTTCTGACACGTGGCATGGGTACAAGTTGTGTTTCGGGTCTCCCGTTTAATTCAACCAAAGCGTTCATTCAAACATAAGTTTTAACAGCAATGGGTTCCTCTGCCGAAGTTTTAGGTTCTTTAGTTCATCTTCACTTGTTTTCAGATAGCACCTGCTGACGTCAATGGCATATCCGGGGTGCACGAGCAAGACTCAAGCCTGATAAAGTGACGTTATTAACGTTAGTTGAGGTAATAGATGTCCTGTTTGGGCGTTAGTGTGTGCCCACGTGCTTTAATCAACTAAAACGTGCACATAACCACGTGCCTTTCGTGTTGCTCGTGTTGTTAATTAACGTTACGTTTTGTACCCAGCTTTGTAGCGTTTCCCCCTCACGTTCAACAGGTCCGTTACTACATATGTGTCCCAGCCAGTCGATACCATCTACTGGTACATTTACAGAAATAAAAGGCTCATTTGCATATCAAATGCGCCTAAAATAGACCAGCCTTCCTGTGTGACATTTCCAAGTCTGGAAACGCTCCTAATTTTACTACGAGGTGCTCGTCCAACTAGAGAGGAAAAAAATAGACATGGAGCTGAAAGAGGAATTGTGTTTGAACAATATCAGACACGTCGGTTAAAGTTGGTCACATCCACCAAACTCTCTTCTGTGTGCTATTTTAACTTGTGGCTGAGTAGAGACTCACATCCTGTCTGTTTGGTGCGACTTTTCCTGTCACAGAGAGAACGATGAGCATCAAACACACACAGCAGTGTTAGCGAGCCCCCGCAAAAAAAACAAAAACTGGTTGGAGAGCTAAGTTTAAAAGGCGTGCTGGCTGTCTGGCATCAATGCTGGTGTTGGGTTATCCACTACTGTGTTTGTGTGTGGGCCTCATCCACGTGCATGCTCTGAGGAAACTTGACCCCCCCCCCCTGGCTGCCCTATGAAAAGGAGTTGTGTACTTCATGGACGTCAATACATTCACTGTGACACAGAGCCCTGTAGACAGACATTCAACTGCTTGATGCCTATAATCGCCATTGTTGTGCGGTTGAGTGTGACATTTAGCTGGTGTGTGCATGTTTAACACACAGGAATCTGGTTTCAAACAGGAACTCTTGTTATATTCAGGCTTGCTGGTTGACCAATGGGACTCCTCTGAACTGAGTAGTTCGCTGTTTAGTTTGGCCTCAACTTCTGTACACTTAGAACAACTGTGTTGGGGTCATATCAATAGGCCATGGGGACACACGGTATGCAATGTCATTGAGCGTTTGTTGTTCGCCTGCCTTTATGTCACCGATTATCATCGCAGGCTGTTTGTGGCATTTATAGAAGGCTGCTTAGACGGCTTTAGCTTTGTGTTTAAGTGACCGGTATTAGCCTCAGAGTTGGAGATGAGCTTTCTTTCTCCGCCTGCCTGTGTTTTGCATGTTTAACCTTATGAGTGCTTAGTGGCCAAAGATTAGACGTATCCGCACTAGAGTGTTATCGACGATATGGTTGTATCGGAAAGACGGGTTGGCGGTGGAACGGCTGAGGATCGAGACACTGAGAGAAAACCGAAGGATTACAATAGTGGTTTTATTGCTTTGACCATTTGATTTCCCCATAGTTTTCTTAATAAATGCACACTTTTGCTTTGTCACTGACACCTCGAAGTCTTGTTTTTCAATGATTTCGACTATGCTAATCTGGCTCTGACGTGTGATCTCTCACTGAATTTAAGCTCAGGTGAAGAGGGATTTGTGTGTCCTGCTGTTCCACTAGTGAAAAAGGGGGTTTAGTTCAGCCACGGTAGGCTCTATGAGCTGCACTATTATTGGCTCAGCACTTAATGCTGGGGTTAGTGAGTGTTTCATACAGCTTACTCACTGTATGACATTGTTTTGAATGGGCAATTGCACAATGAGCCTCTTTGCCAGTCTGCTGGTGCCGTGTACTGTTCAGCTACACTATTAAGATAATACGATAGAAATAATTAATTCCCACCATACCCAGCTATAGGCTAATTGGCGTACACAACAGAGAGCCTGTTTGTTTACATTGTTCCCGATCTACTTTCTGCGAGAATCAAATCTACTGTCAGAAAGTACGATGCGATTAAACATACCACGAGCGTTTAAGTGCTTGTTGGAGGCAACGATCAATGAAGTCCACAACATAAGTTCGAGCGTGACCCAGCTATGTGTCCCGTCCTGTACTTTGTTTCTTACGCAAAGAAAAAGTTTTGGGATTCTTTTGCTCGTCCACAGGGTATTCAGAGCAGCCTTGAGAATACTGCCGGGAGTAACCGTCACTGCTGTAAAGGTCATTTCATGATTGTAAAACACAGAAAAGCAGATCAAAGGGCCCAGGATTGTACTAATCTGCATGGTAGTATGGTTTTGCCAACCATGTGAACTGAGAGCTCATCCAATTACAGGGAAACGTATCAACCCCATGCTGCTAGGTGTGGTCTGTCACTCTTGGTAGTTGCATCTAATGGGAGCGTGGTCCCAACGCCTCTTTCCTGTGCATGAACACTGGACTGTACACATGCTACCCTTTGCCAGAGAAATCTTTAATCTCTTTACCTTAAGAGAAGCAGAACTTATTTGAAGGCTGTAGGGATGAATATGTTTAGAGCGCAAGCAGTACGTCAATTAATTGATTGATTATTTGATAAAGTGTGCGGTTACTGTGACACTATATTCTGTTGTGACTCATAGCGTGTTACTACCATCCGACCTGCTTTCCTCAGTGGCTCCATGACTTTAGCTTTGGTTTCATTGTAGAGTATCGCTGTGTCCGTAAAAATGTAGAGATGAATGTTGTATCTCGGTTCCAAAGTGTGCAACATAGCGCGATAGCTCCTATCCTCAATGAGTGAGTACGAGCGCAAATCCGTGGCAAAAAAAGTAGGAATCTAGTTTGTGTTTCGCTTCACCCTTTCCGAGTTGGGTGGAAGAAGATAAAGCGAAATGCTCCCATACGTTAGCAAATAAACCAGGGGGTGCTGGTCGGATCGTATCCATATTTGGCTGCTCAAGCTCAGCACCATGGTGCTCTCTTAATTTTAGGTTTGGTTTCACCTTTGCTTTGTGGTTACTTAGAACTGACTGGTCCTGTTTGGCATCCAAAGGGTCCCTCAGGCCCGACATCTATAGCGCTTCCGTCAATTAGAGAATAGTTACTGCTTATGTTTCAGGAATATGTTCCTTTTGCCCTACTCGTGTAACAGTTGACAAATGAGACGTAATTCTTTGTAAAATTACAGGTTGTCGAAAGACGTGTGCAACCTTCAGGCCACGATAAGGACTCTGAATGTCAAAAGACGCATTTGAAGTCTCAATGAATACGCAGCTATCTGTCCTTTCTCAATTCAGTGCAACCTCTGAGGAATGGCCAGCTCACGTGTGTGTGTGCGTGTGTGTGGGGGGGGTCTTCATTTGTGACCTGAATACCTCAGCGGGTGAGCATTTGAATGTCCTCCAAATGTGCGTGTACGTCCTCTGTGTGTGTATGGGTGCGTTTTTTAGCTCTTGGCCGGGAGAATAAAATATTCATGGTGGCACGGTGGGATTGGCCGCTAAGCAAAGGCCGCGCTGACAGGGTAGAGCAGAGCACCGTGTGTTCAGAAGCGGCTGTCTCCCTCTCTCTCTGTCTCTCTCGCTCTCGCTCGCTCTCTCTCTCTCCCCTTTTCTGTATAAAGAGATGAGCGGAGGAAGAGGGAACGGACAAGTGCGACAGCGTCTCAGCTCACCCACAGCTTCCCCAACAGAGATAGCCATCAAAGAAGGAACTGGCTGATGTCCTCGCTGCCTGTGCTTTGCCGATGTTTTAGTCTAAATGGATGAACAGAGCGAAGGGCAGCATGTGCTTACGGTACGTCTGGTCCCGCCTGTGTGGTTTTCAATTTGCATGCACAGAGCCCCTGGATCCTGTTCAAGTGTAGAACATGACAGTGTTATTGGTATAGTTGTGCTTTGTATCGGTTCGTCCTCTTGTGCTCTTCCACGGTAGAGTGCACTGGTCTGTGCCGATGAATGGGGCAGGTGGTCGGTGCACAGAAGCTGTTGCCTCATGTGTCTTTTGAAATGGAAACGTTTCCTTTCTACTCTTTAATCGCCTTTGGGGAACAGGAAAGCGAGGACGGAGACCGTTATGGCTGCTTGAAGGAGAGCGGGACAAGGAGAACAGGAACGAAGAGAGGAGAGAGATGAGGAGTGTGAGGGAGAGGAGGGTGGAAAATGGGTCTGCCGAGGTAGCCGAATACAAAACAAGGTGCATGCTGTCAATAGAGATGACGTTTATGGACCGAAGTGAATTTAAAAGAAACGCTTGTTTCCATTCAGTCTCGACTACAGAATGACTATGCCCAGAGTGGGATCAACACTCAAGGAGGGACCGTTGGAATCAGAAGGAAAATATGTGTGAGGCAGAGAGAGGCGATGGTTTCCATCTTTGTGTTTGTCTGCAAAGTCTGTGCATGTTTGGGAGTATTGACTACATCCAATGGAGACTATGATTAGTATCTGTTTGTTTTTTGCCTAATGAGCTGTTTAAACTATAAGATTAAACTACATCTTCACTCTGGAGACATCAGAGACGGGTCACCAGCTCTGCCTTGTTAGTTTTGCCCTGTCCAAACACGGTGATGGGTTCCAGGGAGGTAAATAATTGAATAGCTAGTCTGCGAAAGCTAAATGTTGCTGCCTGATCAAATTATTTAATTATTATCTGTGTTTACGTTCGTTATCCAGCCCCTGCTAAGCACCATGTATGTTTGTGCCTTCCTGAAAAGATTTCCCCAAATTACATATCACTTGCGCATATACTTTAATGTACATCATTTGGTCAGCAGCCATCTATAATAGATCTACTTGTCTTTTTGTTTTCAGACATTGTTTAATTGGTTGCATAATTTACCATTAATTGGCAGTAAATAAATGTCAATATTCTCATACGTAGTATGCAATTGTCCATTTTGGCAGTGTAAGACAGAGAGATCTTCAGTAATCTCGAGGGACAGTGTGACTATGTAACACCTCTCTTACGTCAGTCTCCATCGATTGGATCGGGTCCCAGTGAAGCAAGGCTGGCAAGGAACCAGGCCTGTTGGATGGCTGCTTGTGTTATTCACTGTCTGGTTGGCGGTAGAGGCGTTTGGCAGCTGCGCGGTTAGAATCACTCCCACGCCAGCGCACTAACAGAAGAGAGGTTAACCTTCACGTTGTCAATGAATAAGAAAATTACTTTGAAGTGTAAAAGATGCAACGATGACGCGATTAAGTCGATCGGGAGAAAATATGTCGGCAACTACTTTTTTTCTTTCTTTTTTTTTAATCTTTTTATCAATTAATCATTTAAGTCAACAGTGTCAAATAAGTTCTGGTTCCAGCCGCTCAATTGTGAGGACTTATTCATTTTAATAACGTATAAGATAAAAAAATAAACATGAGTTATGAGTGATTCAGCCACATGTGCCCCTTTCAACTCTGTCAGTAAAATTACACAAAAATTGAAAAGATGAATCACAATTTTCCAAATGCATTCCCTGTGGAGTTTTTGCCCTCTAGTAGCGCCTTCTCTCTGTGAGTGGGTCACGTTATACTCGCGCAGGCACACAAGGATACACATGCAAGTGTGTGACATGACACATTCCTGCCAATGGTGCCATGCTATCCCACTGAACTACAGGTGCCCGGTCTGTGCCCAGATGTGCAGCAGTGCGCTGGCAAATGCAGGAGAGAAGTAGACTGCTCTCTAATACACAAGCATGTAAATGAGGCCGTCCTTGACCGAATAAAGTTTGAGTCGAGTAACACTCAACATAGGATAAGTTGATTTAATTTAATTCATCTTGTACTTGGGAAATCCTCGTATAAAGTTCAATATTGAGTTCAGATGGCGTGTTTTCTTTGCTATTGGATGGACACATGGTGAGCCTTGTTTACTCTTAAAGCTTCACGTGAACCATAAATCCCCCTCTTACATAATTCCCTACGTTGATTGTACCACCTCAGCTATTATTATTGTTATTATCCTCATATACTGACATACATGATGACAGTTATGATTTTAACAGCCCTTTATGATTTCCTTTATGGATACAGCATGGACAATAAAGTAGATAGTGGAACATTTATATTTTTTAATTAATATTATTGAATTTGTTTTGTACTGTCTAGAACATAATGGGTCTCTATCGTTATTACTTATTGAGCGAGTCTTTCTCTCTGATGAGCAGTCATGAAAACAGATTGTTTTGGGGTTTGATGGGATGCTACCACTTAATATGCTGCCACCTAAGTATTTCCTCAGTGACCCACTTCAAAGCAATACAATTAATCAAAACAAAAAACAGCATTTTAATCACCTAGTCTTCACAGTTACTTTTTAAATCAAACTACAAACTTTTGCAGCAACATTTCAAGTCCGTAGGCGGTGAGAGTTTCATGCTCAAAATACTTTTTGTGGAGTTTAACTGTAAAACTAAGAGCAACAGGGGTCATTTTTGGCCTACTTGTATCATTATATGATACAAGCTCAACTTCATATTGTTCTTTGCTGAATGATCTGGTTGGGAGCAGGTAAGTTAGGGTAATTTGAGTCATCTGATGACAGACAAGGGGCTATATTTCCGAGGTTCTGGTGCAGCCAGCAGATATCTGGGCCAAGACTTCCTTTTCCATGCCCTGCTCTTTGTTTACAGTCCAATTAGCAACATGAGATGCATGAGTCGGAGTTGAGAGACGGCATGTAGCTGGCAGTTTACATGCTGATTTTAAACCAATATAAAGCGAAATCATCGTCAGACGATAGCCGGTGGGTTCTGCCTTTGCATTTCAGCCAATGTATTCCACCTCTTTTGCTCTCCACGTGGACTGTTTATCTGTATTTAACCACAGCCGGCTGGAACATAATACTACACGGTATACAAATGGAAACCGGCACGCTTCAGATACCTAAATCTTGTCTAGTTGCCTAAAACAATTACCCTCTAAAAAAACAGATTCTGCATATGAATCACATGGCAAGATAATTGTGAATAAACTTAAAGAAAAATGATACTGATAATCCCCCCCTCTCTTGATCTTCACCATTTTATTATAACGGTAGTTCCACAGGATGGCCATGTGAGAAAGAATAGAGGATGAGGGGGCTGCAGCGGAGAACAGAAAGATAAGAATTGATGAAGAGTGACACTTTACTTCATGATTTGATTGTGTTGTCTTGGCAGGTCTCCTGCTGGTGTTGCCTACCTCTCTTTTGATTGCTATCTCAAGTGTTTTGAGAAAAGCCAGGCTGGGCTTATCACGCACCAGACTCCATGCATGCTTTCACTTCTTACGAACTCAGACTAGGGGTGACGTGATGTTCCCTGGTGACAATCGAGGGGCGTGATCGGAATTCCCCACCGTGCTACACATCTGTTTTGCCAGTGGTAGTTGGAGCAGAATGTAGCGCATCCCACGAGTACACATGTCTCAGTGGACAGGCTAGGAGACATTGTGCTTACATTTACGGCTACAGCATTTTTCTAGGTTAAGCTCATGGTTCTATTGGTTTCCATCTATCTTTGTAATTGTGCAGTGTACTGTTGTATTGATCCAGATCTACTTGGATAATGTGACCTGCAGCTCTGCTTAACACTCATTAGTTTCAGACAGGTTTGGTGGCATATTTAAAACAAACGCTATAGTATAATATTGGTCATTACTAGACACCCTCTGGATCCACACAGGACAGAAAGCAGTGGTAGGCCCACAGTCTGGGAGTGTACATGTAGCCAGAGATGCATCTGCCTTTTGTCAACAACCTCTATTAATGTTGCCGGATGGTGGCTTTTCTTACCCAGCTGGCAATTCTTCTGCCCTCCCCACTGGCACTGCTCCTGTAGCCCAACCACAGCTGTGTTTCGTGGGCATAATGGCCGATTGCCTCCCAGGCCCGGGGACTGTGGGTGATAGACTAGGAGTTTATTTTGGACAAAGCTATGTGACAGGTTGCGTCATGTTCAATGTGGGGTTGAGGGCACAACAGACAGTTAACATGTGCACACACTCCACTAAACAGGCATGCATAGAGTACATGATAACGGGAGGTAAACTGGTGTTTGCAGAGAAATTAACAGATTTGTAGAAGTGGTATTTTAAGAAGCTTAAGAATAAGACTCATGAAGCAGGAATATGTTCACACCAGCTTTGTGTGCTGTGCTTGTAAACATTGGTACATGTGATTCTGGCAGATTGGGAAACTAGAACTGTGGCTGGTAGCTAAAAACTGTTCAAAAAGTTGCTCCATTAAATTATTTTACTTTAGTTTACTTTTTTTTTTTTTTCTTTTATTAAAAGAAAAAAATCTTTCCTTGAAAATATATATATATATATATTTTTATTTTATTTTTATTTTTTTTTAATCTTTGTTTTACATTTACAGCAAATTGAAAGGCTTTTAATTAAAAGTAATTACACAATACTCGGTCAAGTACAGATGTAATCTCTAAATGCGTCAACTAGTGTGACTGACACAAATGCTCACGAGGAACCAGTCCAGTGTTAGTCACCCTTGGTCAGTTTTACACGCCCTTGGTGTGCCGTAGTTGGGGTCGGGTGGGGGGGAGAACTCCAGTAACTAGAGATAGATTAATTTCTCTCGGCTCTCCTCCCTGCAGCTGAATTATTACTGCTACTCATGAAGGCACCGTCAGAGAGCAACACGGCTCATTATCATGCAAATCCACTACTGAGAAACACGGGCACACAAGTGCACACGCACAATCACAGATGGCATCATTCATCCTACGTGGGGTACTAACAGGAGAATGATTATGGTAATGTATGTGTGGAAATCTGAATGTCATTGACATATCCATAGTAGGAAACTAGTAACGAAACAGGGAAAGCAGGAGATGGAGCCTGTGTTTTCTATCAGAATGAAACTTCAGTGTGGTCGGTGTTGGAGGTCATGTTGGGGCTAAGACACATACAAGACCCAGATATCATCCACGTATCCCGTGTCTTTTCAGCAGGCGGCTGTCCTCATCTTTTTTTTGTTTCCACACTCCTGCTTGGCAGCAGTGCCTCTCTGCGATTGGTCGAAAGAATTGAAAGGTTCATCCAATTGGGGGATTGTGTTGCATCAAAGAGTTTGTACACAAGGCAGGAGGACCAGCGCATTTGCAGTTGTTGCGGCGCGTCTCTGATCCCGTTATATGGCCTATGTAGAAGACCGAATGTTGGATATTTAAAAAACAAATCATAGAAGTGTATGTTTTTCATCACTTAAGGCTCAGTTGAAATACGCCAAAATAAATTTTTATATTTTATTTTGCAACTTGTCCCATCCTGTTATTAAAATATAAGCTGTCCAAAAAACTGGACTAAAAGAAACCATAAGATAGGATCCTTACTATCGGCCATAACTGTCACAAACATACTATTCATCTCTAATTCAGGCTGATCTTATCAGCCTGGCTGTCCGACCCACCACTGGCTCACTGCCACCTTGTAGTGTTTATAGACCCGGTATGAATGTGTGTCTAAAATAAGCGTTTCCTTCCTGGTATCAATAAATCATGTCGAGTGTAAAGACACTGATCACGGAGCACAGCTGGCCAGACTTCTATCGATTCTCTCTGTGTGGTCTTAGGGGGGGTGGGGGGGTGATTAAGTTCACTATTGGCCACACATGCAGCAGTTATTGGAGACAGTTGCCGCCAAAAATATTCTGGCACTTAAAGTCCCAGTGAAACGGAAGTTAGAGGAACTGTATCCTCTTACATAGTTCACAGTGAAACCGAATATTTGAATGGTGTGCAGTTACAAGAGGGAGTTAAATCAAGTCCTTCACATTTGATTGGACCGCTAACTAGTGGGCAGGCTTAGTGTTTCACACACACACACCTCCCTTACCTGTTGTCGGATAAGGAGGATGACGATGGAGAGATGAAAGGGAAAGTTAGTCGATTTTCAACTGCAGCGCAGGCAGTACATTCAGCCTCCCTCCATGCTGCCAGGCACCACCCTAACTTCCTGCTCACCGACTGGCAAAACCCCCGCCGGGCTTTTCACATGTACCATTTGTGCTGTAGGGACGCAGAGCCGGTTAAAAAGCAGCAAAGTTTCCCTCAAATGAATTAGGCCTTGGATTTCTCTCTCTGTCTGTCTGTCTGTCTGTCTCTCTGTCTGTCTCTCTGTCTGTCTCTCTGTCTGTCTCTCTGTCT